AAGACAAGAGCTTAATTAGCGTTAATTATAACAGCAGTTCACGAAGAACTGGCCTAACACACTTGCAGCAATCCAGAAGTTAAAAGATAGCAACGGCTGGGGATGTGTGTTGGCTGGCGTAAATCAGTGCTAGGCAATAGCCCCATATAGCTGTGAGAAGAGCTGTCTCTTTCCCTGGGTTAGCATTAGCTCCTCATTATCATATCAAAGGAAATAGCAGGCAGACTCCTCCACACATGCTTCACAGAGGCGGGGGAGTCTGGGTTTATTGCAGAAACTTTTCCTTCCCCTTGTCTGCCTCTGTTCCTACTTCCCAAGTTTCATTTTGAGTTTGGGGTTTGAATAAGCCCCGAAACACAAAAGGAAGTCGAGATGGAGTGGGTGACTGTCACATCCAGGTTCTCAGAGCTTTACTTGAAAGCTCAACTCCCATTCAGTCGAGTGCACCAGGGAAGAGTGGAGGTGGATGAGACAATCTTAGAAGCCGTTTCCAGCTCTGGCTCTTACAACTCTGTTTTCTTCTAGTGGGATGGTAGGTTAATGGTTGACAAACGGGAGGAGACACCTCTGGTTCCAGAGATCAAATTGCAGAACAAATTAAAATGCTCCCTGAAGGCACTGTTGCTCCCTCTCCCCTCAATACATGTAAAGCCAAAGACAGCCTCCACTGATTTCAGAGCAAGCTACAGATTCTGTCACTGGTGCTTAGATTGAAGACTGTCCCTTTGGGTAATAAATGTCATGGGACAGTCTGTGCTCATTGGGGGGTGGCTCGTTTATGTGCAGTGAAACCTCAGGGAAATGGAGGTTACTCCCCATTTGGTTCATGGAAGCTCAAAAATTAGACTTCCCTGCTGCATTCTGTAGGAACTAGCAAAAATCCAAACTGTTTTATGAAAGCTTTTTGTATACATCATGTCCTCAAAGAGCTATTTAGTTATACCAAAATGAGATCAAAGTTTGTTCTTCCACATCTTGTTATTCTGTTTGCAAATCCAGGAGCTAATCATTCCACAGTTGCCATAATTTCACCCCTGTAAATAGCCCTGTATGTCCTTTGAACAGTAAAGCACAGCTGTTAGAGCTTGAGAGCACCCCCAGGAAAATCAAGATGTTGCACTGAAGTGAAATTTGTATCTACAAGCTCCTGGAATTAGATCATTCATCCCATTCTAACAAAAGGGTCTAATTTAGATGCTTTCTGATACTACCATCTCTCTGCATCACTTAGGAAATAGCATGACTATTTAGACTCAAACCAGCGCATCCTAAATGGTATTGCCTAAGGTGAATCCCATCCCAAACACTGAGAGAACTCAGAAAAGCAATCCCTCTACATTTCCTTGTTTACATACTAGCCTGAGAGTATACCCAAACTGTACTGCCATTTTGTGTTAAATCTGCCCTTCTGCAGCAAGCTGATACCTGGAGTTCTTCAACATATTTCAAACTTGTGAGGCCATCGACAACTTTTTAAGCAGCTTAGCAAGGGCACATTGATGTCACTGACTCACTGAAGTGTAGTTTCCAGCTGAAAAACTGTTTTCAGGTCTGGCTTGTCTTTAAACAGTACAAATTGGAAGATGTCTATTGAAATAATATGTGAAACAATGCACTAGTTTACAGTGTCGGAATAAGAAAGCAAAAGTCTACCAAGATGCATGCACTCATATGGACCCATGCAGAAGGTACTACCTCTCTGGTGATTAAATAAATGGCTCCTAAAAGGCCTTTAATGTTGACTGTAGTAGGTGCCTCTCAAGCGCCCTCTTTTCTGTGGCCTTTGCTGTCCTTTGTAATGTGTCTGGCGCATCAGATCTTGCGACAGACCACAACCACAGCACACAAATGTACTTATGGTGCGTGCTGGGTGGCATCTGCAGATCAGTGCTGCAATCCCACTCTCTCCTCTGAGCTGACATCTGGACAGAGGTGTGAGCACAGCACTGTGTAATTGCATAAGGTATTGGCAGAGCTGTGGTGAAGACAGAAGAGTGTCAGAATTATATGCTTGCTCATGAACTGACAAATCTCCTTAGGGTAGAGGTCTCTTTTTTTCCAGCTGAATAATACATGCGAGATGTTGGGGAAACTGGGCTTTCTGCAGCCGCACAGATCAGTGGGCGCTGTGAAAAGCCAGACTGTGCTTTAAACCCTCCCTGTGCCCCAGCTTTGTCACTGTGTAGGGAAAGCGGTGGCAGGACGCGGTGCCGGCAGATGGCAGTGCCTGTTAGCAGAGCTTCACTCTTGTCGGCAGAAATGGGAGTCCGCTCAAAACATGAAAATGTTTTTATTTACAGTGCATGAAGCAGAGTGCCGTTTCTCGCATGTGAGCAATGCAATGGTGTAGCTCAAGGTGAGCAAACGGTTATCACAGAAGTGGCCATACTGTGAGCCCCCTCTTCCGCATGGCTGGGAGACCCCTGTCCGCTTGGAGGCTGTCGACGGGGTTCATAGTTGGGATGCATTGGATAAGCATGTGCAGGAGGTGGGAAGGAAGGCTTCTCCTAATGTTGACCGTGTCACCCTAGCCTTGCAGACTTGCAGAGACTCTGTTCCTCTAGGGCTGCTGGCTGGACAGCTTTTCCTAGCAGAAAAATTAATTCTAAATCTTATTAAAAGAGATTAAATGAACAAAGAAGCAGAGCAGATGCCTGTATGAAGGTGACACTGTCCTTAGTGCTCGTGAAGCAGCATCCAGGGACTTAACCTGCTCTGAATGCCAACATTACGATTTTAGGGGGGACTGACTCTCATGCTGTATGAATTACTGTTTAGTACTTTTTAAGTAAGTTTGAATGATTATTAAAAAAACCAAAACAAAACTGTTAACATACTCCCCAAATAGCACTTTTATAAGGGTATTTCATATATCACAGACATACTCCTAAAAGGTAAAATAAATATAGCTGAAAAGAACATTCCTAACAGTTATGAGCAGGAAGATCTCACATAATTTCATAGGATTTAATCAACAGTTTATTACCATGCCTTTAATTGAAAATAGTTTCACTGCTGATTTTAATTTAGTCCTTTATGCTCTTTGCAACCTAGCTGGGGTGGCACTGCTCTAATGCATGCGAAACAGGAGTCAAACTGGCTAGTCTGATCTCATCACCTATACTGTGGTGAAGTGGGAAATATAAACTAACAAGTGGAAAAGCAAAATTATATTTGCAAAACTCATTTTTAATGGCCTAAGTCCTTGGTCTGACTCTAGATTCCTATCCCATCTGGCCAGATCCAACCTCCACATACAGATCAGAGGACAAGAACATTGGTAAAAAGTGCTATGTCTACCGAGATGTGCTTTTTTAACCCCATCGCCTGTGCAATACGACTATTAATGATATTCAGAGCTGTGGTTATTTCCCTTTCTTTAGCATGTCTGTCTGAACTTTTCCAGCCTAGCTTCCATAATAAGTTGTTATGTATCCTAGATTTAAGATGGTTAGGAATCAGATTTTCTGATCTACAGGAAATTCCACTAGTTCAATTTTTTCTGTTCCAAAACTAGAATGCAAATTATAAGTTGCAAAACTTCTATACGGTAAAATATAAAAATGTCATTCTAATGCTCACAAATTTCATTAGTGATAGTGTGACTTTAAAAAAAAAAATATTGAAAGTCATTCAAAGCAGGACATGGAAAATAGCTTTCAGATTCCAGCAATACTGACACATTCCTGTACAGTGCTTTGGTTTTGACAAGTTCTCTTTTCCTGACCAGAAAATCTTCTGTGAAAGCATTTCTGATGGGCTATAATGTGTGTGGCCCCTGGAATAGAATTAGGGATGATGAGGGCACAAGATTAGAGGAACAAGGCAACAAAGCCTGAAGGCAACCTGTAGTCACTAGGCAGATCTATTTTGTATATGCGGCTGGCCTGATGTTTGCTTTTCAGAAAAGGAAATATTTTAGTAAGCTAGGGAGACAGTGTGGTATTATCAATGATAAAAAAAAGAAGAAAAAGAAAGAAAGAAAGGGGAAAAAAAAGGCAAACCACTGAAGAGCTTTGAGAGCGTTCCCTGGGACTAGCTGGATCACAGGCAAACAACACAACTCAGTCGGCAAACACCATTTCGGCAGCTTGATGGTTGACAGGCAGGGGAAGAGCGCCAGAGGAATTACGCTCTGTCTCCTTCTCCCCACTTTTCCCAAATTCCTTGGTCCAGCCTGGAAGAGAGAGTTTCCACAGTGCCGATGAATGTGTACACATGTGCTCCCTGTTAAATGTGCAGCTTCTGCATTCTCCCAGTCCTCCTTTTTTAGGAAATGCTTTCTGTTTGTGTGATACTAAAACAAGAACACAGCCCCTACCCCCTAAAAAAATGACAGCTCATCCAGTAATCTGGGAAAGCAGAACCCAGGCAAGGGGAGAGCCGAGAAGCGGGCACGGCAAGAAGTAAACGCACAGAGCTTGGGGAACTGGCAAGGAGGGCAAAGAGCAGGTGGTGCCAGGGGAGCACAGCGCTTCGCATTTTCTCAAAGCGCCGAATACGCGCCTCTTCCCCCTCCCCAGCCAGCCCTTTCTGTGCAAAGCAGCGGCTTAAACCCCTCCCTCTTTGCTTTCACTCCCGGCACCTTTCCCTTGGCTGCTCATTCAGAACAGATGATGCTCCCCATCACACGCAGTCCTCTCCTCTCCCTCCCCTCTGCCCCAGCCCTTTAAAAAGCTTTATGCCACCAAGAATTCATTTGTATGGGAGAGAGCAGGAGCAAGGAGAGGCAGGCATTTGACAGGCAAAACTAGCACTGCAGCAGTGGAGGGTGAGGGTTTGGAGCGCTCCGTGTCAGCTCTGACAGAGCAAGAGAGATCAGGGATACTTAGGGACAGGGGCATGAACATTTAAATCTTCAGCACCACATAAATGTTTTCTAATAACAGGCAGAGGGAAGAAGGAAGGAGACAGTCCAGGGATCAGAAGACGACCCCAGCAATCTGGTGATGGCATGGATCGGACACTTTTCCAGCAGCTGTTTTACCTACCTCTCAGTCCTGTCACCGTCTGGTATCCCCGAAGTGCCAAGGCACAAGACTGATGCAGAGCTGCTCTTAGCAAGTAAGTTACCTGGTTTTGGTTTTTTTTCCAATCCACTTCTTTTCTTCTCTGGTTGCAAAGGATCAGGAGCCCAGAAGGCAGGAGGACAAGCGGCTGAGGTATTAGGTTAGTTGAACACCAGATTTCTATGCCCAAACCTGCCAGGGTGCAAGCTAGAGATGTGCTGTTGTCTAACTCGCCAGCTGCTAGGGAACTCTTTGGGAAGCCGGGGATTAGATGTTGATCTTGGGCAAAAGCACTGCCAGATCTAGTAAAGGTGTTATGCAGAAAAAGACATTAAAAATGATGAACTGCTCAGATACCAGATTAGCAGAGATCACTGGAATACAATGGACAGGGGGAGACTGATCAGTAAGCAGCCCTGAAATGGGGGAAGTGACTCCATAATCCTCACCTAGAGTCAAAGATTAAATTCTTTTATAATTAGGATACTTACTAGTCAGCTTAGGTTTTAAAGAGCCCTTGCAGTGTAGTCTCCAGACGATGAAGTGGCATGTTCAGCCCTTGGAGAGTACAGGCAATTTAATGCATTGGGAATCCCTAGGGGTGTTTATGGCTCTGGGAGGTAAAAGCATGACTAATTTTTTTACCAATGTCTTGCTGCGTCGGTCAAAAAGGCGCCTGGAGCCCTCCTTTTTGTATTAGCACATGCTGGCTGGGAGTAACATGCGAACTTTTATACAGCATGTCTCTCATTTGGTTTTGACCAGAGAGTTTCAGGAACCAGTAGAGAATTGGAAGAAACTGTCCCTGTCCCAAAAAGCTTACCATCTGACTTTTGGGGATTCTGTAATCAAGCAGGTCCTTCCTCCTGCACCCTTTTAGTTTTAAGTAGACAACTACCTTGGATTTATAGTAGAGTAGCTTGGAGGGAAGCAAAACTGGCTTCTTTTGCTAGTTCTCTGACCAATCCAAGCAACCAGTATCTTCCATAGTATGTGGGAAGTGTGTCTGGCAGTGTTTGTGTTGGGGGAGTTACTTCACTTCTGGGGTTCAGTTCTTTCCCCCCTGTTCCTACTCAGTTGGAGATAAAGGATCAGGATGATTTCTGGTTCCCACAAGAGAAAATTCTCCATCTCTGGAAGGTTCCAGCCCAGTTATTTACAGACTCTGAAAAAGACAGAGTTTTGGAGTCATGTTCTGACTTTTTTATATAAAAGTCACCCACTTTCTATTCAGTTTGAGGTCAGGAGAGCCACTCGGACATTCGGGGTGAGCATTGGCACTTAACCAGCAGTTTGGTATTAGGTAGGTCAGTTTGTCTCTCTGTGACTCATCTTCTGTGGTCTGCACAATGCGATCAATAGCACTGTTGAATGTCTTGGGGCAGAAAGAGCCTGCATTTGATCAATTAATCTTTGAACTTAAGACAGCTGTGGATTACATAGTGATTCTCAGTTGCTATAATGGTGAAATACCTAAACAATGGAGAACAAGAACGTTGGTGCTCTTAGGGCAGGATTTTCTCTTAGAATTGAGGTTCTGCTTTCCCCAATATTCAGTGTGTGCTGTGTGTAAACAGCCAGTAGCAGGACAAAAGTGTCTCTTTTTCTTTGTTCAGTTGTGTTGGTTGAAAGATAACAGTCAAATTTTCAAGGATGCCATAAGGTCCCCCTAAAAATAAGAGTCTGGGGACAGAGACAGAGAGGTTGCAGAGTGCCTCAGGCAGAGTCACTTCCTTGGAGGTAGAAGGACCAAACTGGTTTATTTTCAGGCTTTAGTTGTTGGTAAAGAAAATATCATTTGACTGTTCAAAATTAAGACAAACACCTAAGAGTATAATATTGTGATTGCATCCTTTGCACACAGACTTTTCATGCTCAACTTCTTTAATTCAGTGAAGTACAAGGTAAGTGACCAAAAGTTACATGGATTATGTCCTCTCATCCACCCTATGCATTTGAACTGTGGTATATCAAGTAGTAGATACCCCTTATGTTGTGGAAACTCCATGTTCTCCAGTCCTTGTTCTATAACAAATTGTTATAGCCTGTACACTGGGTAGTTATGATGTCTCATAAGGCATTGTCTTGTTTTCATCTTTTTTCTAAAAAAAAAACCCCAAAACCCAAAAAACAACAACAACAAAAAAACAAACCGAAACCCCCACCCCAGTCTGTATTCTCATTGCAGTTTAGTTTCTCCACTCTTCTCTGCATTGGTCTGAAGTCAATTTAATGCAACTGCAAACTTGTGTTACATATGGGATTTTTTATACTTTCATGCATAGTTGGAAGGAAAAGATCTATTTGAAACCTGTAGGTACTTGAGAGAACAGAAACATTATTTCTTGGCATTAGAAATAATCTTGCTAGGTTATTCATGCTGATAGATCAGGCTATATAGGCTTTTCAGAGTAATCTTTAGACACACCTGAAGCAGATAGGGACTGTATTCACTGCTGCTGAATTGGTGGAAGGGAAGAAGAGTGGTGCGGTGATAACAGGCACTCATTCAGGATTTTGGAAACTCTAGGTTTAGTTCCCTGCCCTGCCACAGACTCCCAGTGTGAGTGTGGAAGAAGCAACTGTGTCTTTGTGATGCACTTCCCCATCTTGAAATATGGGAAATAAAGCACTTCCTTGTTCCACAGATCTTAATAAATAAATAAATAACATTTTAAAGCACATGATACCTGTGTTGAACACTGTGAAACATTTGGATACTCTCGGAATGGGGGGCCACATTGCTACCTCACAGCTGACAATGAAAGGGCTCAGGGATATTCAAACTGTGATTATCCAGCAGTGCTGGGGAGAAGGATAGATTGGGAGGCAATTAGCAGATAAAAGTAAAGTGCAAACGTCCATAAGCTCTGTCTTTCTTTGTGTCATATTAGCTTCCTACCCAGAGAGATTTTCTTACAAGGTATTTTCTTTTGAAAGACCGAACACCTTCTGTTTCAGTATTTCTGAGCCTAATGAGCGCTAAGCAGACAGACGGCATCATCAGCTCAGCTCTGTAACAGGCACAAAGTCATCCTGCTTCTTTAGTAGCTGCCTAGTTAATCATCAGTCACCCTTTTTTGTGTACTGGTGGGTGGGTGTCTCCTCTAGCCCCGGAGGAACTCCGTTGTAAAATCATGCCTGTCAGCATGTTAGAAAAGCAGTGCTGTAACTTAATGAAAACTCAAAGAGGAAATGAGAGGCATCCTCCTACTTCAGTGCTGAGTGAGATTACACTTCGAAAGGCAATTATTTGGATGAGGGAGCTTTTGAACCACATGTTTATTAGCGAAGTGCCATGGGTCTCCGTTCTTGTACAGTTTCCTTAAATGTTTTGCCCTGGTTTTGAACAGCATAACTCTTCTGCATCATTCCCTTCCCCTGTGGATCTCCAAGCACATTCCAAAGAGGCAGTCACCACAATCTAAGTCAGAAAACTGAAGGATGACATGATTTGCACAAAATCTACCTGCCTTTTTTTTTCTTGCATGCATATGTATGCCTCCAAAGGCAACCTCGTGTTGGTGGTGTTGACTGTTCAGTCTCAGTCATACACAGGCAGTAGATAAAAGGACAGTGGGAAAGATGCCTTTCTCAGGGAAAACAAAGCCCCACCTGTCAGTCAGCACCTATCTAATAGCCATTTATCTTCAGATTGTCAAAGGCCATCTTTTCCTAATATTTTTTCTTCCTCCATCTTTCCACTAGCACACAGTGTTCAGCAATCAATGCTTTTATTCTCTTTGGGTGCTACTGCTTTAATTTGCTCTATTCCTCTACCAACTTTCCCATGTTGCTAGTGTCTGTCAATTAAGAATTTCATTCTCTTGCAGCAGTGTAACCCAAAGGAGAATATGTGCCCCAGAGGAATGTGGGGACAGTAACCTAGGCTCTGGTTTATGTGGTGTAGGCCAACAGGGAGCAAAAGAACCAGGTCAAGTTTTTCAGTAATGATCTGTTTAGTATGTACTGCTGTATTGACTGCTTGTTGAGTAGTATAGGATTCTCTCTGGGAAAAGAGATGACAGAATTAAGTAGAATCTGGATTTGGGAAGGTGTGGAGGGCTTACTAAAGAACAGTTGCTCATTTATTCTCATAACGGAAGAAAACATGGGCAGCAGGTTTAAAACAAACAAGAAGTATTATTTTGCACAAACAAACTTGATGACAAATTCATGTCTTCAAACTCCTCCTGCCTGCCAGTTTAGACCTCTCCAGAAGCAAATCCTTAAGCAAGGCCAGCAATTATTTGAATTGAAAAAGTTACCATGGTCAGCAGGGGAAAAAAGTTTCTTGCAGACTTTTCTCGTTTTACCTTCTGCGATGTCTTCAGCAAATTTCTATCCTGAAGACTTGGAGCTATCAGGAGGTACTGCAGCTCTGTCAGGCAGGGCTTGTAGACAGCTCTGCAAAACAATGCCTCCTGAAGATACTTAGCTAACCCCAGCTTGACTCTTCTTCAGCAAATCTAAGAGTCCTAAATGTCACCGCCTGCCCTGAGACTGTCGTCTGGGCAAAACCAAGTCTGATAAAAAGCCTCTTTGCAAGCTTGATAATACACTGACTCACATCTCCTTTTGCAGTAGCCTGTCCAAAAGGAAAGCAGCTTTGTACAAAAGTGACATTTTTATTATCTTGGCTTCGTTTAACCAAAGATGGTAAATACCAATGAAACAGGATGGTGCATGTGACTATAAGAGGCAATTTCATCTCACAAATCTCTTTGCTGGAGGGAGCAGTGATTTACAAACTGAAGCCTAAACCTCTGTGAGATGCTTGCACATAATTACCATTATCTGGAAAAGATGTGTATGCTTGATAGCAGTGGCAGTATATTATACGATGAAGGAGTTAACCAAATCCTTACATAGGTATAGTGGTCCTTTTATAGTATCTTGTCATTTGTGCTAAAGTTTCCCAGAGCAGTTAAAATAATAAGGGAATGATAGAGATTTCCTAGAAGATTCTTGTGCCTAGGATCTCACAGACCATTCATATCCGTATCACAAATTTTACAGTTGCGGAATTAAGGCAGAGGGAAAAGCAGTGATTTGCTCAGAATAAGAGAAAAAATACTGAAATCATTTGGAACAGAAAGCTGGCTAGCCTTCAGACATCCAAACCTGTCCTCAAACTGCTAACCAATACTATTCCTTTTAAAGACTCTAACGCAAAGATTCATCTGCTTGATTATTTTCAATAACTATGTACTGAGGTTATGCTTATACTATGATGGGAGAGTTTAAGATTAAATATCAGGAGAAATTGAAATGCCACTGAAGCTGTCAGTAAAGTTCATATACAGCAGGAATTTTTCAGCTTTAATGGACCACTTGTGTAAGGTGTTCCTGAAGGTTTCCAGAAAGATTTCACTTGACCTATTGTTAAAGATCAGTAGCATTAGAAAAGTGATGTTGCCAGTCCCTTGAGTGTTTTAGTTAAAGCAGGTTTCCCTGTACTTTCATTAATGGGCAGTCCCTCTAGCCTGCTTCACCAGAGTGATATTTCTAGGGATTTAGGCTTTTTGATTGTTTTTATTCTATTCTGTTCTTTTTAATATGTTTCAAGATCCTTTTGGTCTCTTTGGCATGAATCTAAAATATGAAACCTTACACTAGAGATTAATGTCTTGAAATTGATTGTTCTCTCTTACATAGTGTCAGTGTAAGTGAAACTCAGCTTCGAACATAACTTTTATAACAAAATTATCTTTAAAACAATTCTTCTTAAATTGAAAACATGCAACACTTGCCTGTTTTTACATTTCTACACATAGATTGATCAAAAGCTTTTTAGTCCAAATAGAGTAATTTTAGATTAATCAAACAATGCAAAGAAAGATCAAAAGTTATATTCATCAGAAGAAAGCAAAGAGGTTCTTCTCTGCACCTAATTCTCTTTAAGTCAGTGGATGGGATGCTTCTTCCCCTATTAAAGAGGAGGAAAAAAAAAAAAAAGCATGTGATTATTCTGACTTGCACTTGGCATATGCTTTCACATATTGTGAAGTAAGAGTCAATATGTACCCTTATAATTTGACAGCATCTAGCAGGCACTTTGCACACATGTAAATAGATACACACCATAAGGCAGCAGAGAGCCAGACCAATGGCCCGAGACATTTGAGTTTGCAACAAGTAGTAGAAAATGGCTGAAGATGTATCTAAATATACCATGAGCCAGCTCTCAGAAGTCCTGCCTTCAGAAGTGAAAGAAATAGAGGTAGGGATTAATATCCTGCCCAAATCCTTGATGTTGCTGTTTGAGGAGGGGAACAGCACAGTGCTGGGGTTATCTATCCCACATCCAGGGTCATATGCAGTGGGGGTAGCAAACCTAATTCCTCCTAACTTACCATCCCAGCATCATTAATCCCTATTATTTACCCCTTCCTGGGGCTGCATGGGCTCAGCCCCGGCCCAAACCCTTCAAACCAGGCAAATTTGCCAGCAAAAAGAAGCTTTGGGAGTGTGTTGTGGACAGATGGCTGGGCTCCCTAGTGAACGGAGCCAGCGGGTATGGTTCCAGCAACAGGCTCTGGCTGCTTCATTGGAGTAATGATTGATGGTGACTTATACAAGGGCTAAGAGTAATTCTTTGCTGTTAACCAGACTTGGCTACAGCAGAATGGAAGTGGAAATTTGTTGCTTCATTTATTCATCCTGCCTCTGCTTCCTTCCCGCCCACCCTTTGTGCTTTTTAATACTGAAAAGATGAAGCTACTTTGCTCAATCTTAAAACTGTCTTTCCCAGGATACTCTTAATTGTATCTCTACACCTTTGCTCATTCACAGACGCATAAGAAGATTAAAGATACAGGGAGCAGTTACAGATTTAGTTAGGTTTTAATAGGATTTGCAGAGGACAATGCAGAGAATGAACGCCATGGAGAATATTGCTACGCTGTCTTTGATATCCCTAAGGCTTCTTAGGTAATCTTTCACAGAGATTTTGTCTGTGCCCTGCATTCAGAGTCAAGACTCATTTTTCAATGGACCATGTGTGGCTTTTTTTAAAGAGTATCTAATCATCTTGGTAAACAGGATGTTACATTATAGCCTGCAAGAATCATTGCAGCCATCGTTTTGTATTATTTATTTGTGTCTTGTTAAGCATAGTTTTGTATGTTGACAGTGAGTTTTTTAATAGCTGTCTGTTAGGTTTCTAAAAGTGTCTGGTGTTTTTGTCTAATGTCAGATGAAGTAAAGGGGTAGGTTCTGATATATCTGATTAACAGTAGGCCTGCATTCATGACACCTTCAGACATGTAATTCAAGATGCTAAATTAAATGCCTGTTTCACATTTGGAGCCCAAGCTCCCACAAAATAATTTGTGGAGGGGGTGGGTACTTCCAGAAGGTGATTAAGCACTCCTGAAATCTGAATTATCCCTGGAGGTGCCTTTCTCTGCTGACTGTAAGGGAAACCTTCATGCATAATTTAGACTTATGTGAGATCTAGGTAGACAGTGGTGCTCAGCGTGTTCTATTAATTTCGAAGGTTTCTCTTGGTATGCACCCAAAACCTGAGGCATCAAAAAACTCCAGTCCTTCTTGAAGATATAAGCTGATGTATCTTTACTTTGCTCCTAGTTGTGATCTCAAGCAAATTTTGAGTGTAAAAAAAACCCGAGGACCAAAAAAACCCCCCAAAGCCAAAAAACTGTAACAAGGTTTACCTATTTCATGACTCCCAGACCATGACCATCACCATATGTTCTGAGGTTCCAGCAGTGCATTGAGCAAAGTGACTGGCAGCTGGTTCATGTTTGAAGAGACTGTGTATTATTATGAATCAGTATTTAACAATGCAGCGTTATATATAGCAAGTGGCTGCTGTGAGAGAAGTGCTGAAGCCTTTCAAAGTGTTTCCCAAAACAATACTAGGAGGAAAGACATGGCCCTAGCAAAAAGCTTTCCTGATGTAGAATCAGCCTGTATCCAGCCCTGTACCAGCATGGGGCAAAGTTTGTTAGTGTAACATTAATATTTGCAATGTTTGTTGTCCTGGTGTGTCGTAATGGTTCAGACAGTAAAACAAAATGGCTTTTGTCTCAGCTTTTTTCCTCCTATCTTAAACTTTATTTCTTTGTTCTCCTGCAGCCCAGCCATGGCTGGAGACTCTAGGATCTTCATGAACCAGGACATGGACATCGGAGTTACGTCCAGAGAGCCTAAGAAGATTCCCAAACAGGCTCGGGATGATGTCCCTATTGCCACTGACCGAACCCGCCTCATATCAGCAGAAGGTAAGAAGCCACGTCAGCGTTACATGGAGAAAAGTGGCAAGTGCAATGTGCACCATGGAAATGTCCAAGAAACCTATCGATACCTTAGTGACCTCTTCACTACGCTGGTGGACCTCAAGTGGCGTTTTAATCTTCTTGTCTTCACTATGGTCTATACCATCACTTGGTTGTTTTTTGGGTTCATATGGTGGCTCATTGCCTATATCCGGGGAGACCTGGACCATCTTGAAGATGAGAACTGGATCCCCTGTGTTGAAAATCTCAGTGGATTTGTTTCTGCATTTCTGTTTTCTATCGAGACTGAGACAACAATTGGGTATGGCTATAGGGTCATAACGGAGAAGTGCCCAGAGGGCATCGTACTGCTCCTGATCCAGGCTATTCTGGGCTCCATTGTCAATGCGTTCATGGTGGGATGCATGTTTGTCAAGATCAGCCAACCAAAGAAGAGGGCTGAAACCCTCATGTTTTCTAACAACGCAGTGATTTCCATGAGGGATGAGAAGCTCTGTCTCATGTTCCGTGTTGGAGACCTCCGCAATTCCCACATTGTCGAGGCTTCCATTAGAGCCAAACTGATTAAGTCCAAACAGACCAAAGAAGGAGAGTTTATCCCCTTGAACCAAACAGACATCAACGTGGGATTTGACACTGGAGATGACAGATTGTTCCTGGTGTCACCTCTTATCATCTCACATGAAATCAACGAGAAAAGCCCCTTCTGGGAGATGTCACGCACCCAATTGGAGAAGGAGGAGTTTGAAATTGTGGTCATCCTGGAAGGAATGGTGGAAGCAACAGGTAAGGACTTGTCAAAAATCAGTCACAATTTTGAGGGGGGAAGGGGAAAAATGGAGTGCAGTTTGGCATTTACTGTCAATGTCACCTGGATCGAGAACATGTTGGGATTTGTCCTTCTCTAGTGTCTGACTCAGGTGGGATATTGTGGTCTGACGTAACTAGCAATTAAAAGATGGGTCCTTTAGCTCATGTTGTAGTGTTTCGCACTGTTTTTATAAGTCGGGGATTCAGACGAAGGGATTAGTCGAGGAGCTGTCCATCATCACTGGGAACTGATCCATGGGAAAAAAGGAATGGACTAAAGGAATTAATGAGGTCTGTTGTGGCCCTGTTTCCTGTGATCAAAATTCATGGCACAAATCTTTTTCCATTTCTCCTCTGTATGAAAAATTGGCTGTAACTGTGCTATTTTAGGTATTGCTGTAGTGATGCTTTTTAATGGAGGCTATGAAGGAAGTGCCCAAGTATTACTATATCCCATAAAACAGCATGTGCTGAAACTGAATGACTTGCACATGATGCAGGACATATATTTTCAAAAGGAGCTCAAAGAGGAAAAATGCAGAAACTGCTTTTGTGACTCCTGCAACCCAGCAGCTGTTTAACAGCTTAAAACAATGCTGTGTAATGGGTAGATTAGGAGATATACTCAGCTGATTCCAGATTTCCTTCCATGGGTGTATTTGTGGCAGGCAATGAAAGAAGTCTGCGTCCGTATATAATAAATCTGGAAAAGTTGTGTGCCTCAGCTTTCCAAGGTGTAGAAAAGGGAGGTGACAGTGTGCCTCAAGCTGAGCGAATGGATGGCCACAAAGGTCTCCAGGCTCCCTTCCACAGGTGGGATGCAGTGTATCTCCTATGGGTCTGGTTAGGGAGGAGGATGGTTGACTCTGGAGTCTCACCTAAAAGACAAGGCACCATGGGGTCATTTTACCACTTGCAGCTAATTCATTTATTCTAGGCTTTGAGAAGGAGCTGGCAGGCTCTGTCTGCTGTGCTTCTAGCATGGCAAGTGTGTTTAAGCACCCTGAGATGCTGACGCTTCCTTCTGGCAGGCTTTCTGAGTCTGGGGTTGGCAGCATGCCTTGGACAAATCAGGGCCTTTAAGGGGAATGGGGCAACAGGCAGTATTGAGGAGAGAATTGCTATCTAGAGTTGTGGAAACATAGAAAGAGTCAGAGATGCAAAAAAGCTTTTATAAGTAGGTTTGCCCTTTGGTGTTTAAGGATTTTGATTAGGAGATGACACTGCGAACCCATGTTTTTTCTGTTGGTGGTGTTTGGATTTTCTTTTCCATCTTGATGAGGCATGGGTTCTCTCTGAAACACTAGCAAGGGTTTTCAGCTTGATATGAGTGTCAGTGGTATCAGCACCCTGTCTCAGAGATTCTGGCCTTTGCTTACTATTAATATTGTCCCCTTCTTGAGATTTGTCCTTGTTATTCTCCTAAGAGCCAGATGTAAAGAGAAATAGTCTCTCAAATTCCTGCATCCCAGACCTTTGCTCTTAAAGACAGCTCTCTATTGAGCTAATTGAGTTTCCCAGTATCTCCCTTTAGGCATTAGGTGAATAGCAATAGCTGACTTTTCCAAACAGAGCTAATGGGAGGTTATGTATAGATTGCACTGTACCTAGGTTGGAGTACTGTATTGTAGAAGTGGAATTCATTTGGCATTACTAGGCAAATATTCTTTTGCAGCAGAGTATTGTAGGGATGTGGCAAAAGAAAGGGTGGGTGGAAAAGACTATCAAAGGCAAAGATTTGTGATGGAAGCTTATTTTGTAGCTTAAACATTTACTAGATACTAGAACCTCCTAATCTGAGCATGGAATGCAGTTCCTTGTTTGTCCAAAGCCTCTTTCCTCATCACACAGTGACACTATCAAATTTTGTTTGAACAGCTACTGCACTGCCTTCCTCTTATGAAAGCTCAGCCTCTGCTAGATATGTGTGAGAGGAAGTCATTATCAATAACAGCCTCAAAATTAAAAGCATGGCATAGGAATAATATTGCTTTACAAATGGGCTCCTCTCCCAGAGGGATTATACAGGCCAGTGTGTAATGATATTAAGGAGCACACATCTGTGGAAATGAATTATTCTGGTCTCAGAAGACAGGCTGTGAAATTCCAAAATTGGAGCTAGAAGAGCCAGTTTGCAATGAACTTAGAGCAGAGTGGACCTCAGATGATGCCATTATCTGATTCAGAGGCTAAGATGGTTTTCTGAATGACATATGGTAACTGGGGGGGGGGTGTGATATTTTGCCATAATGAGAGTGGCTTGCAGAAGCACAGTGTTTGTGCTTTCCTGCTTTGTCCTCACACTTCGTAATGTTGATAAAGCAGTTTGGGGGATATTAATCCCTACCTCCATACCTTGAAATGTGCTCCAAGCAAATTCTTTAGGTTCTTTCCTTTCTGTCATATTGTTCAAGCCCCATCTGCTTTCAGGAATGGTGTAATTTACTCGCAGTGTCACTTCTATTGAATCATGACACTGTTACAACCTGGTCAGGTTCAGGGCAGTATAAAAATGCAACAGACCATTTGTTCCCTTAGTAACCCCTATGAAAAATGAGGAACCACCATCACAGTGCTCAGAGGTACAACTGGTCAGCATATTCAGCTCTGTTCATGGTGCACAAGAGGCAAGCGAGTCCTGCATGCTGTCTCAGAGATGGCTCAGCTCTGCAGTTGTTGTGAGGAGTAAAAATTAATGGAAACTTATTCCGTCTTTACAGACAACAGCAAATCATACCATGAATGCATCCTGCACTGGTGGGGAAAAGGCAGTTATATTTTTTCAGAAGGTGTTTGGAAAGCAGGTCAAAATGGTGATTGTCAACGTAGAAATGACTAAATAAATTTAAGCATAATGTCTTGACTAAAAGCATGAATATTTTCCACTGAAAGTTTGGGACAGCAATTTTATAATGATTTCCAATAGCTTTAACCAACCACACACATATTACAAATGTAATGTAACAAGTAACTCAAACAAGTAACTCTTCTTACTGACATTTAGGTTTAATTCTGATCCAGTGAAAGGCAAAGATGGTAAACAGTTTCAAATAAAAAGTGTAGAATAAATTCTGAAGAGCTGAAACACTTCAAGTCACTGGTTTTTTTTACAAAACGAAACATTGTGGTTCAAAACAATGTTTTTGTTTTCAAGTTGACTTGAATTTCCTAAACACTTCAAGTTGTTTGGTTTTTTTTACAAAGTGAAACATTGTGTTTTAAACCCATGTTTTTGTTTTCAAGTTGACTTGAATTTTTAAAAGGATAAATAACAACACACTGAAGAATGTACACACAAGACACAAGAAATGTACCAGCCAGCCTAAAATGCAATGTTTTTATTTTGCTGAAAAAGAAAATAAACATTGTATTATTCTAGTGAGAGCTCTCCAGGGACCCACAGCTGTTCTACTGACTAACCCAGGAAGCCAGCTGCGGCAGAAAGCCCACTGTCGGGGGGCTTTCCAATCAATATTTCAGTATGGCTGAGGCACTGTGACTCTGCGAGAGGTTTAAAAATGCCAAAGGGAGACTAAGTTTCTGGGCAGATCTGTTGTGATCATTGCTGAGTGAAATGACCACTGTAAAGACAAAATCAATATAGATGACAAGTGTTCTGGCTTCCAGTGCTGCTTCCTGCGCATCTTGAAAGCAGCAGCATCACTCACAGTGCCTACTTAATGAATTAGTCACAGAGATTACTTTAGGGAATTAATTCTCTTTTGCCTTATCTGAAAGGGACACTTGTCAAGATCAGCTGGCTCAAATTTGACTTGCAATAAAAGGTAAGAAAGTGAAGGTGGAAAATCTATCTGCAAAGTGAATACATTTTTGCTTTCACTGCCTTTCTGCTTCCTACAGTAGCAATAAAAAATGAGAGCCAACCCTGTTGACAGAATAGGTCTAGGCTGTTGTTGGCCAAACCTCTTGCCCTTACCCTCCTGATCCTGAATTGAACATAGTGTATAAAGCAAGGCTGCTGGAATGTAGAAGAGCAGTGGAGATTTAGGTCCCCCTTCCATGTGCATGCAGAGTCAGCTGGGTTCTGATGAAGAATTTGGCTGATTTGATAAGAGAACATTGGAGAGTCCAATTTTTTTTTTTTTTCCCCCTGTAAGCCATCACATATGATGACGCAGTCTGCATATCCTACAGGACTTTCTGGCGGATAATTTGAAGAGGGTCTCTTCTCTTCCAACTTTACCCTTCCGCTGCTATTTACTGACAATTAAGCAAAACCTAATTTATCAGTAGCTGTCCTGCAAACCTCATTCTGTATCTACAGGGTCCAGCAGTGCTATTGTCTGGGCATAGAGACAGCAGTGCTTGTTACTTTACTCTTGGTCCTCACTGGTTTTCATTACCTCTTTTTTCCCACCACTATTAAATAAGCCACAAGAGACAGTCCAGATGCCTGATTAGTCCAGTCACTAAATGAAGTTTTAATAAACTCTAGGATAGGCATATATATTTCTAGCTTAGAGTCTGTGTGATAAAAAGTGGTTTAATGATTAGAAGTAATTTACTTCATCCTGTCCCTGTGAGAGCGTAGGCAAACAGCAGCTTTTTTGCACCTCAATTTACTCACCTTTACAGAGGACTTAGTAAAATTTCCTGGCTGTAAATATAGGACCAAAAGAAGTAGTCACAACATAAGATAACCTGAAATTAATCATGATTTTCATGGGAGAACAAAGGAAGGGTGTGGAGTTTTCATGCATTCATCATCTGGTTTGGGTTGTCTTGTTGTTTTGTTTTGCATTTTGCATATAAATAAGTTTTCTTTTCTGCAAGAAGGACCTTGCAGAACTGTTACAGAAACCGCTTATATAATTATAGGGAAGAGAGAGACGTCTCAAGTCATTCTTTTCATCAGCTGAATTGTCCTCCAGAGGTAGAAGTTGGCAGGCTAGTCATTTTAGGTGCCTCTGCAATCACTATAAATAGCTTTGTGAGGGGCCTAAAGTTACATGGTG